GGGTGATTTTAGCCAGGACATCAGGGTACCACCCATACTCTTTCGAAAGATGCCTTGGGATCTTTTATAACCTTGAGAGTCAGAACCTCAGTTTCAGGTCTCATCTGGTGGACAGTGCCATTTTTACAGCACAGTGTCCCCGTCACTGCACTGGTGCACTGGGATCCACAAAGACCACAGGATGGGCTTCCCTGTACCCACAGTGTCCCCGTCACTGCACTGGGACATTGGGATCCACACAAACCACAAGACGGGCTTCCCTGTTGGCCACACCGACACCTCTTCCAGCACCACTGGACCACTGGATTCTGAAGGACACTGTTCAATGAAACCAGGGTCAGCTGCACATGAACAGCGACCTTCAGAGATATTGTTTTTCCTGTTGCATTTCTTCTGTGGGTCCTATCTCGCACTATGGTACCTCCCAGACATGCAGGACACAGCAGCTTTCAAAGTCCAGAAGCAAGGTGGAGAACGAAGGAGAGGAGATCCAAATAATGCTGAGGGGTGCTGTGGGGTGCTGAGGGGTGCTGTGGGGTGCTGTGGGGTGCTGAGGGGTGCTGAGGGGTGCTGTGGGGTGCTGTGGGGTGCTGAGGGGTGCTGAGGAGTGCTGTGGGGTGCTGAAGTGTGCTGTGGGGTGCTGAGGAGTGCTGTGGGGTGCTGAGGGGTGCTGAGGTGTGCTGTGGGGTGCTGAGGTGTGCTGTGGGGTGCTGAGGGATGCAACAGAGGCCAGCAGCAGAAGGGACCACACACTTCTAAAAAAATGGGTCAGCACATCATTGCTTATATCCCATAATGGCAAATGGGGCTTTTCTGTCTCATGAAGGACTTTGTGTGATAACTTGCTGGTTTAAAAAAGGATGCTCATGAGGAGAGAGGGCCAGAGTCTCTCTCAGGGGGGGCGGCCAGCTGAGTTAATTCAGTCCCCCTATCCTTCAGCTCTTGTGTGGGCATAACGTGATGTGACCTGTTTTGTTTCGCCTTTGGTATCTCACACCGAAGAGCTGACGTCAGTCACAGACCCTAAATCACAGTCCGTCTGTTTTCCTTTCCTTCTGTTCCCACCCCTCCCCCCCCGAAACACAACTTTTCTGTGTTTTTCTTTTACCTGCTGACAGTGGGGGCTGAAATCCATGTGGTGCCACAGGCAAGCTTAACGCCCAGGTAGGAGGGGCAAGTCAGTGATTTGCTGAGCTGCTGGCACCCCTTCAAAATATGGTGCCCTTAGGCAGCCACCTATGTTCCCCCCAGCATTTTTCAAACTTTCCATCCACAAAGCCCATCTGTTCATCATGTGTCATGTTGACATCCACTTTGGTAAATTTCACTGACTGGGGGGGGGGTCTCCCTTGGAAATTTTCACATACCAAGCCACTGTTCCAGGACCAGTAGCTCGTAGGATTGACCAGCTCCGCCTGCTGGTTCCCTGTCATCAGGGGTTACTGGATAGATAGTTACAGAACAGATGAAATAAGAACAATTAAGTTTTTAATAAGGGAGGCCCCAGCTTGAGTGTCAAATTTGCCAGCTCCTCCCAAAAAAAGCAAAAACACACACAGAACCCAAAAGAACCACAGGCTCTTTCATGGGCTGACGGGCACAGCGAGAGGAGAGCGTGGACTGGGGCTCTCATTCTGCAGCGCGCAGGCTAGAGCAGCCTCGCTGCAGCGCGGGACCAGGAGGCGAGATTAACGAGGCAGTGTCTGCTCAGCACCTGCTGAGGGTGGCAGTCCTGCGTTTGGGCAGGCGACCGACAGGCAGCAGCCTCCACATCTGCTGTACAGTCCGCGCACAGAGCCGCAGAGGGCGATGAACCGCCGGAAGAATCACGCTGTGAATTACCGTATCCAGTGAGAATGCAGCATGCACTGTAGACAGGGAGCTGTGCAAGTGTGTGTGTTTTTAAGGAAAGGAGACCCTTCAACTGCTTGGTTTGGAACATGCAAAATAAGCATTTTTGTCTGTACTTGTTAAACAAAAAGCACTTTAACCAGGATACATTCATATCACCTAATTACGCAGCTCTGCCCATTTCTTTTAATTTTGACTTATTATGCAATATTAAGCCACATAAAATACTCATAAGAAAATATAAAAACGCTTAAAGAGAAACAAAAACACCAAAGGAACCGTTGCTTCTTAATATCTGTGGCGAGATCACCGTTCACAAGAGGCGGACAATGGTGCTGACAGTAATTTTCAATGAATGTTGCTTATCTCTTGCTACTTATTCTCTTCTTTTCTACTTTCATCCGTAGCCCGTCAAGGCTGCCAGATAAGTGCAGGCATGGGAGCTGAAGTGACAAAAATTATGACTTAGCAGAAAAGTCTGATTTGCAAGACAGCAGGTTTCAATTTGGGAACGAGAAACGGTAGGAGATCCTTTAAGAGAAACACTGTCACGAAGATCAAAGGGAAAAAGGTCTATGTATTACAATAGCTACTTTTGTTTAAAGGGCCCAATTGGTTCCGTGTGTGGGGGAACATGTCTGTGTGTGTTCCACGGGTGGCAGCTGCTTGCATGCTGGTTGAGGAAGAGAACCCGTAACTGAAAGGTGGCGAGGTCAGTTCTCAGGAAGTGAGCGGCTGTTGCGCGGCCTTAACGTAAATGTGAGAGGGGGAAAAGAAAAACAAAGCTGCTTTGTATAAAACTGCCAAGAAAGAAAATGAAGTGTACGTATGGAGAGAATAAGTGATGAATACCTTTATTTTGTTAATCGCGGCTCAGATATTGAGGTCGATAATACGAGCCGGTAGCTTTCGCGTTTATAACGGTGTAAACTCATCTGTTATTCAGTGGCTGAGTTTACATGGGTAAACTAAAAAGTGGTTTTATCGGCCATGTTGACAGTAACTGTGATTGATCATGACTCGATTATGGCTGCATATACCCACATGTACCTGTACCTGAATATACCCACATGTACCTGTACCTGTATATACCCACATGTACCTGTACCTGAATATACCCACATGTACCTATACCTGAATATACCCACATGTACCTGTACCTGCATATACCCACATGTACCTGTACCTGNTGTACCTGTACCTGCATATACCCACATGTACCTGTACCTGTATCTGCATATACCCACATGTACCTGTACCTGCATATACCCACATGTACCTGTACGTCAAACAGTAGTTTGCGTAACTTCACAACAAACACCTTTAGTGATTAACCTTGGCGTCACGGTGGTAATGCAATTACTAATTCTTTTCACTTGGGAGTCATCCAGGCTTGATTAGACAGTCTTGGAGAGGGAGAGAGTGTTACTGGGAATGGGGAGGGGGGAACCAGCTGGCCATGGTGTACTGGGAGCCGCAATGGAACACACTGGTGCTGCTACTCATGCCTGTCACAGCAGATATCTTCTCACTCAAGCAAGCCCATGAATATTTCAGAAGCCACTTTTGTCTCCTAGGCCTGCAGCCCATCTCCACCTCCTCTGCAGAACAGCCTGACAGTAACCCCCACCCTCAGGTAAAACGATCAGACAGGAGGAAACAAAACAGGATGACAAACTGGAGTTTTTTTCCAGGCCTTCTCCGGTGTGATGATGATAAACACCAATCTGCATGTAAAAAAAAAAAGAAACAAAAAGAATAGCCTTCTGCACTGTGAGTATGGAAGCTAATTTTTAATTATTTTGCAGAAGCAGTTCATTTAAATGAATATGTTGGATATGTTTGATATACTTATGAGTTCTCTCATGTATTCATACTGTGTATCTGATTATGATTTGCTAAAACAAAAGCTTTCCCACAATGGGCAAAATGTGCAAAATCTGATTGGAGCAGGGTGCCAATCTATCGGTGTCTTCTGCATAGAGCACCCAGCACAATATTCTTCAGGCTAGTTTTATTGTGTTTTCACAATACAATGGAATTCTTACTTTCTTGCTTCCTGCGGACCATGGTGCCAAATAAATACAAGACAATAAATTCAGAAGCAGACAATAAAAAATAAGGATGAATAACACCCTAGAAACATTAACAGTTACATAAACACTGTGCCTTTATACAAGGACTATTACATTTACTGAAGGTCTACCTTTTGTTTTGCTGTTATCTTGGGTTAATAAGTAATAATACAGCCCAAAAACTATGAATTCTTTTCTTCCTCGAATAGGTCGTTAAACATAACGTAAAGATTTTGTAACTGCATTGTATGTTTTGCGTGACTGAAATGTACTGCAGTCATGGGTTTGAACAGAGGACGCTTATCACCTCTGACGTGGGCCGAGACTGCCATCGTGCGGTGGTAAAAATCACTACATCGATTAAAATTATACATAGACAAGGGGCTTGCGATTGCGTTCAGTTTTAATTGACCCAATTAAAACTAACTTGCCTCTGATTTGTGGTTTGTAGGCTTACACATGGTGAGATCATTTAATAATCTGCCTGTTACGATCCAGGTGTTCATTCTGGCCGCAGCCGTTGTTTCACATGATACCGGCATTCCGCTAATGGAAGGTATACTTGTTACACTCATGTCGCCGGCGATTTAATTAAAACCGGAAATGGCGGCCTCGATGTATCCTCCAGCAGGCAATTAATCTCATCTCGCCTTACACTTTTGTCATGGTTCAGTAATCTATTTGTTTGGTGACTCTATTTTCATCCCGTCTTGCCTGCCGTAGTCACCAGTTCACGTGCACGTTCCTCGTCCTGTTTTATAATCCCTCTGTTTGGTCTTCATTCCAGTCCAGTCGACCTAGTTCTGCTTGCCCGACCCCACCGATCGTGGCAATTTACATCCTCCGAATGCGGACGTCGCTCCGGAACCTCCCGCCCGAAATCTCGTTCGTTACCGGTTAACAGCGGCAGAAAATCTGCCAGTCTGGGTGGAAGGTCCGATTCTCAGTGTTTTGTTCACAGTCTTGCAAAAGGGAGAACCTGCTTTCAGAGTTTTCTTTTTGCCAGTAGCCTACTACGTACTAACTATGGCAGAAATTAAAATGATTAATGCATGTCTGTTTTGATACATGCGAATGTTTTGTGTTAGATTTTCGTCGACGATGCTTTTATGCGTGTATTACGCTTTAAAAAGGTAGTAAGTTTATAAATGAGGTATATTTAAAATTGAATAAAATAGGTTATTTCAGTGACTAATTTGTGTAATGTGGTAACCCATATATTCGCATATTAGGCAGTATTTGAGTTTTTGAGTTGCTGCCCAATCCTTTGCCAACCATGCTGTGTTTGTACTACTTGGGACAACCATGTTAAAGGTCACAAAATAAATACTTAATTCAGCTAAATGAGGGGGTAACTTGCCAGTTCTTTGAGCTGATGTCTATTTCAGCATCTCCCTCTCCAGAGCTGTGTGAGGCCATGGCCAAGGGTGATCCACTGGAGACTGCTACTCAAATCACATGTTAAGGAGAACTGGATAAGGCAGTCTGCCATGGCCATAGCTTACACTGGGGTGTCCTGCAATTTGGTTTATTTTTATTCGTGCCCTGGAGGTGGATCTGTGGCATAGACACACCAACCTTTACAAAATACCCCCCTGTAGGATAAATGCATATGAACACGAAGACTGCCCCCCCCCCCCCCCCCATTTATGATTGGGATCAATAAGGTATATTTATTTTTAAAGTGGGGAAAAGGTGGAAACAATGTCGTTCTCAAAATTCCACCTGGGGGTGGTATTCCGCAAAGCTGAATTACCCAGCTAGCTGGATAACTTAAGCCAAACGTGAAAGCTGCCCAATAGCAACAGAGCTAAGTGACATTTCTGTTGGCTACAACTTAAGCCAGATGTAAGAAATTTGGCTAACAAAAATCCTGCTTTGTGCGGTGCCCCCCAGCTGGCCCAGTCATGCTTAAACTACGTGACCCCATTACTTTTTGTTTGCCGTCGTACGTGAGAGTGTTTCTGGTGGCTCAGATTCAGGATCTCTGATATATTAAGAGCCAATAGAGGCAGTTAAATGGACTCAATAAAGATAATTAGAGGAAATAGGAACAAAACTAGGACAAAAACCCTCAAAGTGGCCTTTTCACTAAACTGATTGTCATTTTGTATACGTTTTTAGTTGGAAGTTGCCCTGTCCTGTAGACATTGCAGCCAAGCCCGTCAGTGATTGTTATTTAGCTACTCTGCCATCACAGTAGTGGCAGATGTTTGTGTACATGGGCTTGCCAAAGGTAGTGTCATAACCGGATAATAGCCCAAAGTCCTGCAGGGTGGGCAATTTCAGCATTCTCTCTCTCTCCTCGTGAGAGTCCTTCAGGTTATAGGTAGTCGTGTGATTTGAAGGTAACTCTTTACTTCCAAAAGTCAATGCCGAAGCTGTCAGTAGTTTAAAATGAGCTGGACGTATTGACCACAGAGTGATTCTCCAGCATCAGGTCCAAATATACTGCATCTATTAAGAGTGACGTAGTGGCCAGATGTAATGGCCTGGTCAGCATCTGGCATGTATAGGACCCTCTCGTAATATACTTCAAGCAGGAAAGCATTTCCAATCCAGTATCAGAAGCAGCCCCTATATCACTCTTGATATTCTGAAGAAGATCCATAATCACCTAAAATAGTACATGACACAACACACAGTCAGCATTCCACATTAGGTAGCCCAGACCGCGGTGCAGTCTACGTCATAATCAGTGGTCCCTTTTACAATCTATAAATTTAAAATCCCTCTTTACTGTTTCTCAGCACATGGAACAGGAATACGGGGGGATGTGCACAAAGCCAAGATATTTTAGCTTATGAGAATTGTTTATCAGATTTGTGTGCGTAATGCATACACCATCAATCTTATTGTATTCCGATCTGCAATAGTGGTTGATGCCTCGAGAAAAATATCACTTCGTTGCTCACCGTCTATGCGGAATAATCACCTTTCAGTTGTTGCTGCAGTAAGACAAGCTAAAAGAAATGCAAAATACATGTGTGGTTGGAGACAATCTCTTGCATGGATTTTGTATCATACACACGTGACGAAAAAAGTGACCTTTTAGTTCAAAAAGACAATTATACACAGAGTAATCGCACTTATCAGGTAATTAGCGATCTATTTTGCACTTGCTGAGAAAGTGGTCATATACTCGTTCATTGTCTTGCCCCTACATTGCTTCAGATTTACATTGAGTCTCGAGCTTTCTGTTCAACTGAGTCATATTGCACCACTCGATCATTCGCTTCGGTTATTGATTTTATGTTGTTCTGTATACAATACAGTAAAAGAATTTCGGTATGTAAAACTATTCAGGCACAGTCCGTTTGTTAAAGGTCTAAATAAGCTTCAACGACAAACCTTTTTTTGACTTGAAAAGTCAATTCGATGAAGGAAGGTAAATTAGAGCAACGGGTCAGGATATTGGAGTTTACTGGCTGAGCATTATGGTTCTTATAGAAACCAGGATGTGTCTGCTCTTGTGGAATGATTAGAAAGGGATCCCTTTGAAAATCCTTCTTTCGTGGCTCGCTTTGTGCGAAGATGTATCCCTCATTCCGCCAACTTCACTTTTCACTTTAGTGTATCGACAGCTCTCGTTCTCCATCAAATCTGCAGAAAAACGTCTGATTGTTTGACGATGAATAGAAGTGGGAATTCTGTTGCTCGGTGCTGGACATATATTGATTATAAATAACGTGACGGTGTGATGTAGTTACTCTAAAAATCCATAAATAAACACGGCCGCCTGGATGCCGCAAGAAAGAGTGGATGGCTGCTTGGGAGTGACGTCACGGCCATCAGCGTGAATGACGGCGCCCCGGACAAAGCGGTGGAGACTCCGCCAGTGAATCTCAACACCAAGGTGGCTGAAATCCTCTCGCAATTCCCATAAGAGGTATGGTGGACTCGAAATCCCAGTCGCAGATCGTTTAGTGTAATTCTGATACGGAGCGAACCGGAGAACAGTGTGAGGTCGACAGCCCCAGTGCATGTTTTCCACACCGCCATGAGCGCAGTGCCGAATTACCGAGCACATTGCAGCAAGTAGACGGTCCGTCCGGGGGGATGTTTGCTGCCAGATGTTTCGTTTATCGGACGTGCGTGCACCCTTGAACTTTAACGATTTAGTTAACTTGCAAATTCGTCCATTTGCGGACTTTGGCCAGTCACCTTCGCGCAATCATTTGTTTTCTCTGAGTTGCGGATAAACGCGCTATGGTAAGGTTAGATCCTTCAGAACGAAAATATCTAGTATGTAAATGCGTCGCCTAGATTAAGGACGTGCTGTTAAGTTCGCCGTTGTGCATAATTATGGATGTTATTGGTTAGAAATGAACAGAATGTCCAGATTAGTGTGCTTTTTAACGTTAGTGGAAATACTCATATAAGTCCGACATTACAAAGTAACAGTTTACAGAATTGTATCTTTTTTTTCACCAACATCTGTCAGCCGAAGTAACTATGAAGCGGCTTGTGTGAGAAATTAATTGCCCCTTTTAGTACATGGCCGCAACACAATAACGTCTATAACTCAAATATCTTTGCATTTCCTCGTTTGTTTGTCTCTGCCCTAGTAACGTAAGGGAGCCATGGAGAGAAATGTGTCTTCTACTGTAGTTACAGCTTGGAGGTTTTATTGCAGTTGAATCATCTCAAAAAGGCCCTGTATTTGTCGCTGGCATAATTACAGGTTGTGTTTATGATGCTGGATGATGGACCCCCAGCCATAACCTATAAGCCTGTTGTCATGGCGTAAAGAGGTTGCCCACTGAGCCACTGTGATTGGCCAGTCAACGCTGTCAGAGCACCGGAGCCCGAGAACGCTGGACAGGGGGCAATTCCAGTCTGTGGGTGTTACTTAGGGGCATTGTGGTGGTAAATAGGGATGCGACGTGGTATTGTATCAGGGGAAAAAAAGTTTTAAAGGGTTTTGTCATACTTCTAAATACAGTTTCTCACATGACCTTGCTGCATGGCATTGGATGCTGAGTAAAGTATCAAATATAAAAGATACAAAATATCTGCTTAGATTTATGTAGCATATCATTGGTAAATTGCAGCTTTTATTGCCCATTAAATACAATCTACTTCTTAAAATGACTAGGATTGGAAATGTTGGCTTATCCACAGTTGTTCTGGTATTCTTTGTTGTCTTACTGGTGCAGTGCTCTTGTGACATTCCTATTCTAAATACAGAAGTTGTAAAGGTGTATAACTGCCAGAAAAGTAAACACAATTGTTAAAATATGTTAATGACAATGCTGATGTTCTGGAGCTAGAATTGCATAGTATATTTGCATAATCATTAGATGTCAGGCACCCAGACCTGACATAAATGCGACGAGTGTGAAAACATGTGGCATTATGGGATATCAGTGCGTGCGGAAATTATACAACAATGCTGCGCCTTAAAATCTGAAATGTATGAGTTTCACACATATTCCCCACGTCGGTGTCATCTTCAGACCAGCTCGTTTAGTCATTCATTATAAATCGTAACATGTCTTTTAAAACGACAGATCAAATTGTCTGCATATAATGTGTGTATAATAAATCAGGGGAAAAAACATAGAAAAATGTGTATGAATGTTATTATTGCACTGAGTATGAAATGAGTCTTATTTGACTTTGGATGCTGTTTTATAGGACTGTCTCCCTCCCCCCCCCCCACCTCATTTCCCGAAGCTGCTGCTCCTCCTCCTCACAGAGCATGGCTCAGGACACCAATGAGACCCAAGTGCCCATGCTGTGCATTCTGGGCTGTGGTTTCTATGGCAACCCACGCACCAATGGCATGTGCTCAGTCTGCTACAAGGAGCACGTGCAGAAACAACAGGGAGGTGGCCATGCTGGCCCCCCCGGTGACAGGGGTGAGCTAAGCGAGAATGGTGAGAGAGGGGGGGATTTGCTAGTGTCCTTGTGAAACCTAGTGTTTATCTAATTACTGTAATTAAGACGTATAAACTCATTGAAGTTCCTGAAGGTTTGTACATTCATCTGAATTAGCCCCACCCATTGCATGCGTGCAGACCCTGCTGATCCCGTCGATGTTGAGTCCTCTGGGGATGCCAGCGTATCTCTGCAGGCCTTCGCTGACTCCAGCACAGGTGAGGGAGCCCAGGCAGAGGCAGACAAGGCCAGGTATGGCTTCCGATCCCTTGTTCCTGCAATAATCTTTTTAAATCTCTCACAGCCGTTAAACTAAAGTGATGTATTTGTGTGTGTGTGTGTGTGTGTGTGTGTGTGTGTGTGTGTGTGTGTGTGTATTGGGGGGGGGGGACCCAGCTCCCCAGGTACCGTCGCCCAGCTGATGACAGCCATGAGCATCTCTCAGGACAGTGGGACCGTTGACACGGATCAGGAGGAAGATGAGGAAGAGGATGATGAGGGCGAGGAGGGAACATCCAAAGCTACAGGTGAGGTTGACGTTTGGAAGGCGCCAGTATCCTGAGACACTCATGAACTGGTTGGCACTAAAAAAAAAAAAAAAAAAAAAACAAACCTTTGAAATTTACAATGAGGCAACCATCTTCCAAATGCTTTCCCAGAACCGGATCACTAGGGGGGGAGGATTGGATTCTTTCCCAGACAGCACAGGGTACAATGCAGGGGACACCCTAGATGGTTTTGATCCATTTATAAAGCTGGATATTTCCCTGAAGCAATTTGAGCCATTCAGTTTGAGTACCTTGCTAATGACTGCAAGAGCAGGACTGCATTTGGAGCCTGAGCACAAACCTTCAGGTTACAAGTCTGTCCTTAACTACCTGGGCAGAAGCTCTTTGGTGGATTTACACAGAAAGTGCACTCTACATCCGAAAGCAGTGTGTGTCGTAATAAATCGAGAGATGAGTATTTGATGGGTGTGGTGTGTGTTTTGTCTTATGGTAGGAGCTTGTGGGGAGAGACTTTAATCAAAATGCTCTCTGTTTTGTGTGTGTGTGACAGGGGAGGCTGATGAATCAACGCAAGCACCCCCCGGTGGAGATCAAATACCTGACAAGGGTAAAAAGACAAACCGCTGCTTTACCTGCCGTAAGAAAGTGGGCCTTACAGGTGAGCATCACCTCGGATGTGGTGAAATCAAAAGCAGCCTTTATCTAAGGCAGCGTTTCTCAATCCGGTCCTTGGGGACCCCAAGACAGTCCATGTTTTTGCTCCCTCCCAGCTCCTGGTAGCGAGTAAAAATGTGGAATGTCTGGCAGGGAGCTGGGAGGGAGCAAAAACATGGACCCTCCGGGGGTCCATGAGAACTGGGTTGCGACATGCTGGCCTAAGGCGTTCAGAGCGTGATGCGTTTTTTTTTTTTTTTTTTTTTTTTTTTTTTTGTGTTTTTGGAGATTTCCTTCCAGAGTTGTCCCTAATTCTTTTAATACACATACTTCAACTTTGCGGGTATGTAATCTTAACCTTTCTTTGGGGAAACCTCTATTTCAGGATCCCATGTAAGCGGTTTACTAAGGGAACTGTAAAAATAGAACAGAACGCTAAAATAGACGCTGTTTAAAATAAACAGCATCAGAGAGTTTTCTAAAAGCAGAACATGTCTCTACGTATGGCCGTCCCCTTGGTGTGGGATGGTGGCACGGAAATGGTGGCATCTTAAGGAGAAGGCAAGTGCTATCATCTGCAAGGTTTAAGTTGGTCAAGAAGCTGTAGCAGACCTGAGGATTTGTCTCTGTAGTAGAATATTTGGAGATCACCCAACATACCACAGGTCTCCGGTGTCCAATGCTTTGCTCGTACTCTCTACTGCAAGGAATTATGGGGGGTGGTGGGAGGGGTCAAGCTTCTTTCTATAGGTCAGATCAGTCTGCCTGCTTGCCCGCCTGCATGGCTGTTCTCTTGTCACCACTCCCCCCGCCTCTTCCTCATCCCCTCTCCACGCCCCCCTGATCCCCCACTGGTGTCTGTACTCCAGGCTTTGATTGCCGCTGCGGTCACCTCTTCTGCGCCGCACACCGCTACTCGGACAAGCACGAGTGCCCTTTCGACTACCGGGGGGAGGCGGCGGCGCGTCTGCGCAAGGAGAACCCCATCGTGGTGGCAGAGAAGATCCAGAAGCTGTGAGCAACAGGCCTGATTTTCTTTGAACTGCTTCTTTAAGATTGAGATCATGGTGGATTTTATTGATCCCAGTAGGAAGTTCTGGGTCTTGCTGCTGTTTGTAACCAGAATTCCCCGCTGGCATCAATAAAATCCATCTTAATCTTAATCTTAAATTAGTAATGAAATGTGGCTTAAGCCACTTGCTACAGTGACTTTTTTTGTATTTTTCCTCCCTTTTTTGGTGAAAGGACGACTAAAACGGCATTACCTCCACCACCACAACCATTACTACCCACAAAAACTGTCTTATCTTCAATGCTTTTCTTTCTGATTGTAACCTCAGATTGAGTTACAAGGTCTCCTGTGTTAACATTGTTTTGAGAGGGAGAGAACTGCAGGGTTGGAGCATCTTCTATTTCTGGAGCCTCTTTGTTTTAACATGTTTTATATGCCACTGGTTTAACATAAATGGACAAAAAACACCATTTACCATGTGCAGTCAGTCAAGTCTGCCTGTTCTGGAAGCACCTTTTTTAATTCTTTTGCTCTCTGACAATTGGTCCGACATATGCAAACAAACACAATTATGGTTTTTCGGGATGTATTACATTTTAAGTTTCTGAGCGCATGTGTAGGGTTGTAGAGCAGAGGGTGACTGATATGTACTTTCTCTGGATGAGTGTTTGGTGACCATATTGCAGTTTGCTTTGTGTGTGTGTGTGTGTGTGTGTGTGTGTGAGTGATTGCTTTCTATTTATTTTATGGTTTTTAAACGTTGGTTTAAAAAGTGGGTTCGCAATGGACAGAAAGATGCATGTGTGAGCAAGCTATTAAATAGGTTACTCTCTTGAATGTTGAATTGTATTTATGCATTTTCTTCAAGTATGTAACCAGCTTTAGCGAGAGACACACAAGCAACTGGAGTTTAGTTCCTTCAGGAAACAAAGCACAGCTACCAAGTTGTTCCAAGTTATAAAGTATCTGTTACGTGGCACACATACACAGCTTAAATAAAAATTCCACTGCTGTACTATCAAAAGAGCAGTTCATCTATCTTTGTTTTGCTAAGTGGCATCGAGTGGATATAGCTAGAAGTATTTTTTTCTGTTTAGTTGGAATATCAAATTAAAAATATATTGTTGCAACTATGAGGAGGAAAAATAGGTTTCCTTATGCTACAGAGCAGAATTGTGGTTTGCCTAGTTGACCTTTTTCAGAAGTACTATTTGAAACTACTGGCAGGTCACAAAGCTAATCTCAAGGGTTTGATTTGCATGAAATGAATGACGTCATGGGTCATATTTAGCAGGGTGTTGTTGACGCTGACATGTAATGGAACTCTATGGCTGTGACAGATTTGGAGTTTCACTTGCACAAAAAATGTTCTGAGGGTGGAAGGAAAAATTATTGGTTCAGAGAAATAACCAATCAGATTGTGGAGGAGGTGGGTCCAAGCAACTGGAGGAGGCAGGAACAACCAATCATATGTCTTGGACCCACCTCCTCTACAATCTGTTTGGTTATCTCCCTTATTAGTCATTTCTCATTCTGCCCTCAGAACATTTTTGTGTAAGCAAAAAACTCCAATGAGCATTTGGAACCCAAATAACCCATGAAATTTCATCAAGGATTCTTATTTGTAGGCTTGCAGGCAAGTAAGTGGAAAGTCTATAAATGCATTATAGTACTACTGGACTGTGATGAGCCTAGTATAATGGAGCAATTGCAAATGGTGTTTTGGTGGGCTTGGTCCTGTGTGCGAGGAACTTGCCAGCGATAGCAGCCTTCAGCTAATGGATCACATGGCCTGTCAGCTTGTTGGTGTGCAGTCACCTCTTCAGCCACGCTGCCAGTCACTCTCTAACTTGTATTTTGCTTTTCCAGCTGGGAGGTTCCTTAGCTGGAGGCTAACCTGACACTGTAACACAAGTCTTAGCTCAAGCTTGGTTTGATTTGATTACCTTGTTTGTTTGCGTGTGTGTTTGTTTGCTTGTTTGATGATTCAGTTTGTTTGTTCGTTCTTTTGTTGCTAACAGCTTTTTGTAAGCGACGTAACCAACTGGCGTGTATAAAATGGTAAGTGGCTAGTGCATACTGTGCCCAGTTTGTGTGCTGGTGCGTTTGGCCGATTCTGGCATAATAATGTTGACTTATGGTCGTGGTGCAATTAATGGGAAATGAAGGTGGTGAGTTAAGTTACTGGTGTGGGTTGCCCATTGAAGATGGAGAAAAGGTGAATATGGAAAGGGTCTGCTCTTAATTTTGGCTGCGTCCCTGTTAATATGATGATGACTTGCCAGTTGCATACAGTACATGAATTTGTTAAAAGGTATGCATGCTAAATCCCTATTCGAGTTGGCGTTCTCGTCGTTAAATTCATCGCACTCTGTAGGTTTCTGTTATCAGACACACTTGCTGAGTGTGCGTTTACCTCGGACCAGCTGCGTAATATACGTTTATTCTAGGTAGCCAACAGACACAACCCTGGATCTTCTACCACAATGTTTCATCCTGCTTCATCTCCATTTTAAACCCTAATCCTTGTCAATCCGAAATTTAAATCTCCATAATGAAACGAAAACAGAAACTAAACTTGTCCTCAGTAATATGTATTTATTTGGAGATCACATCAGTTTTATACCAACTGGATCTGACTGAATCTGCTTGGCCATGATCGTCCTGCTGTTTTGTTGGTGGCCTGGATTTAAGGTGCTAAGCACAAATAATTGATGTAAATATTCTGGTTTGGTTTGAAGTTTTTTTTTTTTAAGAGAGCATTCTGATCCAAATTTATTTAAACATCCCACGTTCCCTCAAGGGCTTAATTTTATTTCTAAATCCTCCCAAAATCATTTTGTCTATTTCGTACCCGAAGGAGTTTGACATTGGGAGGGGACCAAATTTGCTCTGGCAGAGATAATCTTGTATGTCTCTTCTTAATGGGACGACTGTCCGTGGTGTAATGCGCTCATGTGTGTGGAATCCTCAGGAAGGAAGCAGATTGCATGATGGTTTGACAGCTAATCTAATCATAACCCCAAATTCTCTGGTGTAGCTGTGTCATTATTAGAGGACCTTATTGCTTGCATAAATCAAGAAAAATATAGAATGGGATTTATTTATTTGTCTTTTGGGAAGGGGGGTGCAGTGTGATGATATTGCCCCCCAAATCCCCCCTGTGTATCTGTGACCTTTGCGTGGTAACTTTTAAACTGTGCCACATTCTAGCATCTGGATAAAGAGGTCAGATGGGTTCAGATAACAGCAGCACAGTGGTGTTTAGCCAGAATAAGAACAGTGAGGAGCATATGTATCTCCAGGAAGCTGGCTGTGAAGACCGGTGCAAGTCCAAAAGGAGGAGGCAGCCGCCGCCGGGGATGAGCGCGCGACGTCACGTGCATGTCTGCCAGACTGCACTTTTCTTGCTGCCACATCAGCAGCCAATCTCATATTTCAAAGGTTTGCCTCACCAAGCTGTGCCTTGTGGTTAACCCTACCCTTTTCTCTGCAGCAGTGCTTTTGAAAGAAAGAGGGTGGGGTGGAACATACTTGAAATTCACTTTGGATCCTTTTCCAGTGAACCTTTTTTTTTCTTTTTCTTTTTCTTTCATTGTACAGTTTACAAGGGTGAGAGATACATCTACAGTTGTCATTGTTTCACGCTAATGACAAATTTTGAGATTTAACTATTAATTTGAAAACAGTACAGAGGTACCACCCTAGTCTGTTTTCCAGCCTCAATGGTTTTTTTTCCAGATATACCTCTCTGTGATGCTTAGGACTTAAGGCAGACGAGTGGCAATAAATAAAAGTATTTACCGTAAATCTGAATATGGGGACTTTAAGTTGTTTTGACAGCCGCCCCCTCTAACATATACCACCTTTTTAAGCTCTGTGCTGAGGCTTTCAGACCAGGAAATCTCCTCTCACCAGAGGAATGTCACTCTTCCTTTTCCTTTCGCCGTTCTCTTACTGCCAGGCTCTGCCGTCTGGCACACGGGCGGTCCGGAGCGAGTGTGACGTAATAGCTCTGTGCGCAAACCCCTCAAATGCTTAATAAAATTATTTTGAACTCCATATGTACCACGCGCGTCTTGTTTTTTCTTTCCCAAAGACAAATGCAAATTGCAGACAAATAAGTGTAATTTCTTAAAACAAAAAATGCTATTTATTTTTTCTAATCGTTTCATAAAAAGAACAAAAAAATGTTACAGTATGTTTCATGGAAATGTTACAGTACAGTTATGTAGTTTAAATGTTAAAATATGCATAGTATTTAAAAGAACACCAAGTAAGTTTACTGTTCTTCAAAATTCGGTACAGGGAATGAAGTAAATACACAGTACATTAAGCCGGAGCACATCAAAAACAAAAATAGTTACAGAGTAGGTGGTCCTCGGGCGTCTTTATTGGCAGATTCTGTTGTCACGTCCTGCCTACGTCATTTCCGGCTGAAACAGGGCAGCAGTTAAAAAAAATACCGTGGCTAACGTTGTTAGCAGGTCGGCTAGCGACAATTAACAGTTTAGCGCATGAATGTCTTCATAATACCGCGGTGATTAAGGCGCAGGTCGGGCGTTCGTGTTATTTTCGCTCCCTCTTTGGGATTACGAGGGAATGCTTCTCTGGTTGTTTTCTTCCTGAATTTCAATTTTTATCTGAAGAATCTGGATTCTGTTTAGGGAATATATTGGCATATGGGACACTGGGCACGCTTCGGTCAGAGGGAATAAACGTACGGCTAGACTGAAGTTTTTACCGAACTATCTTCTTTCCTCGACACTCGCTAGTGAGGTTCGTTTTCCAAAATACCAAGCTGAAGGGAAGGTCAGCATAAATACTCTTGACTGGCTAGTGACGGCAGCCAGTCGGCTTCTTTAAATATATATATAGATAAAGATGTTTAACAGAAGAGGAGCTGGCTGTACAGGCTTTCATCGGCGGTCTCGGTAGCCTAAGTCGAGCTGTCATTCGCACTGTGGTTTAAAGCCGATAGCCTTTTAAACTTCATATCCCGCGTCATTTATCAGCCGAGACCGGTGCCTGAAGTCTCTTGCCGTCCTGGTGTAAATATGGCCTTTCTTCGGACTTTATTTAAATCTAACGATCGCTAGTTCCGAGATAAGATCTTAAATCGAGGTTTTTTTATCCTTTAAATATGCGATGATTATCACAAGGCACTTGGCCAGTAAGAAGTCTCTCAACCAAGGTCTTGTTCTTTTACATTATCCCGCTTCCTGGATTTCTGGGGATATCGATAAACATCTTAGTTATTGAGTATATATATTTTGATCTCTGTAGCAAGCTAGATAGTTACAGTCGTATTATTGCCGGCGGTTTTGGGTCCCGTAACTTTTTTTTTTTTTTTAGTAGCATTTTCTTGGAATTCATTACCAGGTAATTTTCCTTCATTGTCTTGTTCCTCTTTTATTTATTTGCGTGACATTTATAGTAGACATTGCTTAGTCAGCAGAAATAATGAAACCGGTTTTAAAATGTTAGGCTGACTCGTGTAGTTAGTATCTATCGCTTTTTTTAATACTGCACGTTTCCGCTCTGTATACGGTTTATGGTAAACCGGTGTCATTTCCCATTAAACTTGCATTTAAAACAACACACTGCTAAGCAAGTGCATGGTTACTTTCACTTTGAAGAAACGCAAGCTAAGCTTATTGGCATGTAAAGTGTCCTGAATGCTTTTTTTGGTTCTTATTCTAGTGTTTATGAGAGATGTTTTTGTTAGTCTGTGCGCTTCTGTGCTACGTGTGAAAACAACTGTTCCAGAATCAGCAGCAGCTCAATTCTCTGTCCCCTCTGCAGTAGACCATGAACGGCCTGTCTGTCAGCGAGCTGTGCTGCCTCTTTTGCTGCCCCCCGTGTCCCAGCCGCATCGCAGCAAAGCTGGCCTTCCTGCCCCCAGAACCCACTTATGCCCTTCTGCCCGACCTGGAAGCAGGACCCACCCCCACTGCTTCGCTGGGAGCCTCGGGCCTTCGCTCCCGCGGCAGCGGCGGCGGCGGAGGAGGAGGAAGCAGCAAGGTGGAAGAGACGAGGTGGAAGCTCCACCTGACAGACCGGGCCGAGTTCCAGTACTCCCAGAGGGAGCTGGACGGCACAGAGGTCTTTCTTACCCGCTCCAGCCGTGGAAACAGAGTGGGCTGCATGTACATCCGCTGTGCCCCTTCTGCCAGGTAAGTGGGGGGGGGGCAGATAGTAACAAATGATAGTAAATAGCTCGGGATGGAAGAGAGCGGCGGGCGGAGGCTTAGGAGAAGACGGAATGAAGATAGAAAGTGGGACAGGCAGGAAATGAGAGCAGAGCAAATGCAGATAATTTCAGCTTTGCCTGTTAAGTTTGACAGAAGATTTGCAGTGAAACACTTGCGTGCCTTAGCTTCATGTACCTCGTGCTTTTAATTTCGAACACATAACATCCAATGAAATCCTGTTTTGCACATGCATGCGGCATTAATGGATATAAACGGCACTTCCCTCATACAGAAACGGCTGGCTATATTGTTAATCAGCTCATCTCTTCCTGGAAGCAAGCTGAAACCTCCTGACATAGTAGTTATAGGTTTTTGACACTATTGATTTTTGCGTGTAGGTGGGGGGAGGCACCGGGAAATGGTCACATTTCTTTTGATGGTTTTGCCACTTGTGGAGTAGAGGGACTATACAGGACTCTCATGGAACGAACTTGAAGCTGGCTAAAAGAATTATCAGAAGCTGTATATGTCAAATTATAGTGTTCTGTTGCCAAATATATAAAATTTGGCAACAAGGTCTTATTTTTCATGCAATAATGTCTGCTTCACTAATGTTTTCCATATGTTAAAATTATTGGTGTGGTGCCAAAATAGGGCCGTGTCACAGAACTACTCCTGAATTAATTGTCTTTCCTACTCACTGTTTTGTTTCTTTAAGTTCAGGACTTAATTTTATTTGACCATATTTTGCAATATTGTCTCCTAGGTCTCCTCTTTCCTCTCAGTTTCTATATTTTATTGTATTTTCTTATCATATTTGTATTCAACCTTTGACATTGATTCATGTAGTGCCGCATCTGTGATTTTGATAGTTGTAAACCTACTGCAGTAATTATACACGTAGAAGTCACTTAGATGCTTGTGGTGAAGATAGGCTAGCAAAGAGCCTGCTGCAGCCATAAACCCTTTGTTCAAAACCCCCCCCCCGAATAGCTCACTAATTGTTCAGGGGATGTCTCAGGTGACAATTGTGTAGCACAAAGCCTGTGCTGACGATGGTTGTTTGAATGTAAGAATTTGCATCACAATTTGTTAAATACTTAGTTAACTATAGCAGGATTTGTGCCAACACACTGTGGCTTGTGATTACTGGTTCCACTTGCTGTTGCTTGGTCTTATGTACATCATCGATCATGTCACTGGATTGAACACTCATGGGTGCTGGCGTTGTTGACTTCCACGGTCCTTTTCTCCATGCCTTCGCCAGGTTTACAGTGCTGTTCTCTCATGGCAACGCCGTGGACTTGGGTCAGATGAGCAGCTTCTACATCGGCCTGGGGACGCGCATCAACTGCAACATCTTCTCCTACGATTACTCGGGCTACGGCGTCAGCACCGGCAAGCCTTCCGAGAAGAATCTGTACGCCGACATTGATGCTGCCTGGCAGGCTTTACGCACAAGGTATGTTCTGGGGCTCAGCTTCCGCCAAGACGCAGCCAACCCGATGGTTCCACATTTTAATGTGAAGCCACAAGACATGGAGTTCGGTCACTTCTGAAAGACCCTGTTGACTTGCACTACATTTTACTTGTGATTTCTGGCTGAGAGGCCATCAGACTTAGTTTTGGTCCTGATAGGGTCAGAAATTCATGAGCAATACAGATAAGACCAAGATGGAGTCAGAACAAGCCTGCTGGGATTTTAGAGCTCTCCTGCCTGATCTCAGCTTCTCAGCTCTACGTCAAGGGGATTGACGTTGCTTCCGTCATCGGTTTTTAATGACTGTATCTGTTTGGATAGATGCCACTACCTCTGGCCTTGTTGGCATGCAACACTCAAGTGAACGCAAGGCTCCTGGTCATGTTTAAGGTTGCCGGTTAGCCAGCATTAATGGTAGCCTGCGCTCTGCTGGTCTCTCCCTCACCTGCCACAGGTATGGTATTAGCCCGGAGAACATCATCCTGTACGGGCAGAGCATCGGCACTGTGCCCACTGTGGACCTGGCATCACGGTACGAGTGCGCGGCAGTTGTCCTGCACTCCCCACTGACCTCTGGCATGCGAGTCGCCTTCCCAGACACCAAGAAGACCTACTTCTTCGATGCCTTCCCCAAGTGAGTGCTCGGTTCGGCACATTCCGCTCCGATGGTGCTGCAGGATCTGTCACCTGGCCGATGGTGGCAGATTAGCTGTCGTGATTTCCATGCGAGATGCTCTTTTTTTTTTTGCTGCTGTTGTCATGGTCACTCCTGTCCGTTTTTGTCCTCGCCGTGCTTCATGTTGCACCCGTCTTTGCATTGAAAGCATCTGATCTACAGCTGGTTTCCTAGAACTTGCCCGCTAATTAGAAGACCTTGCTGTAAAATAGGGAAAGCATCAGAAGAAGTCTGCAGTCACCAAGGCTAGTTCTTGGCTTATAGTGGGATTGCAGTCCACTTTTGATGTGCCTTAAACACCTGTGACTCTCTGCCTCTCTTGTCAGCATCGAGAAGGTATCCAAGATCACGTCGCCAGTGCTGATCATCCACGGGACAGAGGACGAGGTGATTGACTTCTCGCACGGTCTGGCGCTGTTCGAGCGCTGCCCCAAGGCGGTGGAGCCCCTATGGGTAGAGGGGGCCGGGCACAATGACATCGAGCTCTACAGCCAGTATCTGGAGCGCCTGCGCCGGTTCATCAGCCACGACCTGGCGGCCCAACATGCCTGAATGCACCATTTCTCAAGCCTCCCCATGTCCAAGGAGAACCGGCTGTATGTCTGCGAGCTGGAGACCCACGGATCCGGTGGGCTCCAGGCATTGGGCAGCTTGTTTACCTGTGTGTGTCTGCGTGAGTGTGAGTAATAACCGCTCAGGCAGGTGGGTGTCTGTCTGGGTGTCTAACCCGTCTCGCTCTCTCTGCTGTTGGCCTGTCTACTGGTTCCCCTCCATATTTGCCTGGATTTTCCCTCTGTCCATTATCATCCCTTCTATTACTGTGCAGGAATTCAAGCTAGTGCTCATATTTCCTCTATGTATGTGTGCAGTGGTCTTCAACTGTGCTCCTGAACTTCCTCCAAGGAACACTACTGTGTGGAGGCAGATGTGCCGCCCCCCCCCCCCCCTCCAACATCTGTCAGCTTCCCCATGGCGATCAGTGGCTGGTATTTCTGGGGCGTAGTGTTTGCTCGTTAGGAGATAAAGCTGGGAGCAGGATGGGCTGGGGGAACGTGGGTGACATCTGAACCTTGCGGATAACTTAGGAGGGAACTGATGACTGATCGCAGCCGCCCCAAAAAAAAACAACTTAAGCATGACTGCACATTCCTCAGAATTGTAAAACGGGGACTGGTGTGTGTGAGATGGGTTGCGGAGGTCACTGCTGCTTTTCTGTTTTTTTTTTTTTTTGTTTGTTTTGTTTTTTTAATAAACCAGATAAACATAGGGATAGAATTTACATTTTATAATGACCTTTACCCTTATTTTGTTTCTTCCCATCCTCACGGTTAAGTATGTGTGGATGGTTTTATGTGATGTGTGTTTCTGCATTTTCTTTATAACATCTCTCGGAACTGTATAACAAAGAAATATTAAAGCAAACAGAAGTCTATTTTTATACTAAGTGAATTAAGGGAGCTATCACAGACCAATATATTGATAAAGAAATATGTGTACTATATCAGAACTGGCAGCGTTCAGCAATATAATCTGCTCTGGAATCATGAATAACAATCGAGATGATTTCACCTCAAGCTGATGAAGGCAGGAGGTACCAAGCTTTTTTTTTTGCTTTTTTTCTCCTGCATTTCTGACTTATCAGCAAAACTGTGTCTTGCATTTACCGGTGACCTTGAGTTTGCCAGCCATATATGAGGCTATTGCCCACTTGTGGTTGTGCGAGTCATGCTCTGAGGTCAGAGGTCATCAAAAGCGCTGTTGTCCTTGGGGGCGATCTCAGGCTGCACGGTATTGTCAGATCGATTCAGCCATCTCACTGCAATGTCTGTCATCGAGAGACTCAATCCACCATTCAAAACCATCAAGAAATGAGAAAGGAAAGTGCCTCCGGGGGGGGAGATAAAATTCATCGAACAGTCTTTGCTCTGTCTGTGTATTTTGTCAACAAATTTAATTCCTTATTGGAAAGCGGTAAAGGTTGTTTCAAAATACAGTTAACATAATTGTTTAAAGACAGATTCTCTTTGTGTTTGTTTTTTTTTAAACCCAACTGATTGACACATGCATGTACAGTGTCACTTTAAAACAGATGCAAGCATTGGCTGTCAGCTGGACTCTGGCTTAAGTGTGTTTTCCACAGAGCTTTTTGATTGGATGGAGAGTACTGGCTAAACTTGCTGCTAAAGATGGGGATCGAGGCCTCCCTGCCCTAGGTAAACGTGATGGATGCTAAGCTGGGGGGCGGAAGTCACACCTGTGGCAACCATGAACCCTAGTGTCTCCGCCCTCCAATAGAAGGGGAGCTGATGGAGGAATATGGGTAATGCATGTATACGCTTGTGTTACCTGTCATTCTGTAAACACTAAAAGATTGGTTCTGATGCAGAGGAAGGCTGCATAGACAACTGATCCATTCAACAGTGCCGTTTCAAACCAGCAGACTGCAACATTTATACTGCACTGGATGGAACAAAAAAGTATAGACACTACAACTGGAATGAGCCTTTATTACTGAAGCCATTTTTGTTATGTATACATTCTTACTGCATTCTTTTCTAATGTCTTCTGCTCTGCTTCATTGTCCTTCAAGATTCTCCCATCAGTTGCCTCATCAAATGAGAATTCATTTCCTGAGTGATTCTTGGGCCCATTTTGTAGGTTCTCTGCTGCTCCATCCAGATTGCAGGGGGAGATATTCTCCAGCAGAACCAGAACCTCAGAGAGGGACATTTCGGTGATCTGGCATGGAAGGCGGATCTATGGGAAAGGCCTTCCTATCCTCACCCAGGATGGTGAGGCTTCATTATACCAAGCTGTGTCCAAACCAAACATGGCGATCCACTGACATGAGTGTGCACACCACCTGCACACCACCTTTGAGGAAAACCAAAATACGGCAGAGAAGCCTTGAGCTACACTTTGGCACAATGCCCTGGAGTTTCTATTATCAGAACCAAAGACAACATGAGCCGAAACAGAGGAGACTTTGGCGTTAATTGTTTTTTGGTCCTTTCTGGCAATGGAGTGTATGGAAGGGGGCAGTGGAAGAGAGTTAGCTTGTAGTGAATGACTTTTCATGGGCTTTATTTTAATTCGCAGCGCTGCACACACAGTTTTGGGAGCCATTTTGAAAAATGTTCAGGTGTCACACCCAGTCCAGACAGATTAAGTCCTGACAAACTTAAAGACTGGTGAATACAGGAGTGGGAATCTGGATCTGGTATATGAAATGGAGTGTCAGGTTGCCGTGAATTCCAACAAAACGCAACACAATGATAAGTAACTAGGATGTTTCATTTACTGAAATGTACTGTATGATATTGTCTTCTTTCTGAGGGGCGTGCTGATTGGGAAGGGCGGGGAGGGGTCTGTAAATATATGGGTAATGTTGTGTTTTATTGTATCCTGTTACACTATGTTTATATTATTTGAAAATTTGTAATATTTAGTTTAAAATCTTTTCCTTTTTCTCAAAGTAATAAAGAGATGGTGTAATAGACAATAAATGATTTGACCATGAATTGATGAACCGTGACCCAAGACACTTTGTGAATAGGGTGATTCTAAAACCAGTTGGGGGTCTGCAGAAATAATTTTTTATATAGGTTTGGTTTCACAACAAAAGTTACCTGTAAAATGTGAAATATATATATATATTTACAAAATCACTATGCCTTCATGACCCTGGATGGTTGAAGCAGAACAGAAAATGAGGGGACCTACATTTCTAAACTATTCTATACAAGTACAATGCTGTTTTCTTGCTAGATTTTTGTAATAATTTCAACATCGCATAGAGAGATGCCTTCCTCTCCCAAAGGTAGCACTAGTCATGGCATGACTATATGTACTGTGTGACGGATGGTTGCCTGTTTCCTGTTTGAGTCATGTTACCCCAGTGAAATGTTTGCGTTTCCCATGAATGTGCAGCAGAAGTACAACTGAGATGTGAACTTTTAGCTAAAATCAGCTCTTCTCAAGAATGCAAGGTCTGCAGCTGCAAAGGACAGTCTATAAGCAGAAAAAGACATTTTAATAAAACTCATAACATCTGACTGCCTGGGAATATTAAAGATGAGATATATACACACACATATTGTGTATTTGTCACAATGTTCAAAGAGAAATGTGGTCATGTTTTGTTAACATTAACCACTATTTACAGCCACAGCATTCAGACAACCTTGTGTGCTCATCCACCGTGAGCTGAGTGGGTCACTTCCTGTTGGGGGGTAGGAGCAATGAGGGCGTTATTTTGCCTGGGAAGCTGCACCACAAAGGACAGAGTCTGTAATTAGGGGATTCATGGAAGCCATCTTGACGGCTGCTACTGGAGCCATGGATATTCTAGGCCATGTTGCTGCTGAGAGTCCTGTGAGATGGGCTGGTGCACAAAGACTCCAATTATGTTTTCATTATTGGAGCACAAACTCTGAGTCGCCCCCCCTTTCCTGCTCCACAGTGCCAGATTGTGTAACAATGCCAGATGGGTGTTAAACTCCCTCCTCATAACCCCCGACACACACACACACACACACACAAAACACTTCAGTGAGCTACTATATAAAACCTCAGGATCTGGCACACGGATTACTGCAGATGCAACAGTGTTTTTTGTTGTGTGTGGTGGTGAGCTGTGACCTCGTGTGAGCACATGTCATTCAGACCTCAGGCAGCCTTTTCTCAGGGCAGTATGGTGGCACGTACTCCAGTGAATTGGTCTGTTTCCCGTTACTCTATAAACTGCTACAGCTTTCCACAAGGCATACGGGAGATCACACTTGGGTGACAAAGGGGCAGTCTGTACACTACAACTTATGTTGGGCTTAAAAGTTTTTGTCATTGTACAATGTGGACTACAGCCTAGCCAGGTCAATTTTCCGCAGTTCCCATCCCCCATCTCCTTGTTGAACCTAGCCTTCCTCCTTTTGGTAGAAATTTTTGGGTTGATCACGATTTTATCCGCAAAAAAAGGACACCATACCTTGGCTGATAAATGCAGAAAGCACTTTAGGTGAGCTCATTACGTTCATACGCCTCCCGGGCTGAGAATGTCGGTATTTAAGTCCTGGTTAGTTTCAGGAATTTGCACACGCATCCTTTCCTTTAGTATATCTCAAGGAGTAAGCCTCATCCTATACTTCTGTCTTTTTAATTAACAGTTCTTCGAAATGAGCTTCTACTAGCGGGTGAAAACGGCGAGCAGCGCGCGGCTTTCCGCGTGAGCGCCACGCCCACGCCGAGCCCCGCCCCCGGAACCGCCTCCACTCGCGGCCACACCGCCGCGTTCCTCTTGCACGCCCGCGGCTCACGTCAGCCGGCGCCGTCACTGCGCGTTACCCTCTAACTCGGGGGGGCGTAGGTTTCTACCGGCTTTCTCAGACACAATGAACCGAGGAGCTGCGTAAAACGGACAAGTCGGGGGTGGGAGCAGGAAAAAGCGCACCTTTTCAAGTTGATTTTCGATCGTTTCGGCATTTTCGTTCGACGCATTCGGCCTTTTGGTGCGCAGTTACCGTTTAAAGCAAAAATAATCGCCGCTTAGGAGCGCTAGCTATCGGTTCAAAAGCGGAGATCCGGGCGGAATCAGGAGACTCGCTGGCCCGACAAGATACTGGTTACTACAGCTCGCTTAGCCTGCCCAGTTATACGACGAAATAACATGTCGGTGTTCGCCTATTCGGATTACTTAGCTGCCGAGTGCCTGGTGTCCATATCCAGCGGACCCGTCCTCCACCGACCCACGCCGGTGGCTTCTGCCGCCGTGGGTCCCCCCCCGGCCCTGCCTCTCGGGGAGCCCGAGGGGTCGAGGGAGGATAAGGAGGTTCGGGACACCCTGAAGCAGGAAGGCTCCAGTATAATGACGGTGGCCGGGATCCTGACGGACCTCCACGGCAAATTCCGCCCCATGTCGGCCTACTCCGAAAGCAGCAACTCGTCGTGCGGGGAGAGCGGATACACCACGTTGTCCGACTCCACAACCCCGACGCCCACCATGACCCCGAGCGCCACGCCGACCCCCGGGCAGCACGGCCCAGCCCAGCAGCAGGTGTGGCCGGCGGCTGCTGGGGGGCCCTCCCGCTCCCCCGTTAAACGGCACCCGTGCACTTTCGATGGCTGCGACAGAGTTTACGGGAAATCGTCTCATCTGAAGGCGCACATCAGGACTCACACAGGTAAAGTTCAGCTGTAATGGCTTTGGGTGGGGAGACATTGATCCCCGAGCATCGGTAATACGTTTTTTTGCTTGTAAATTAATGTATATAGCTAGTGTTTAAAGTTACCGTGTGGGGGTCGCGCCGCTGCCCGGGGGAAATCGGGGCTTTTGTGGGAGTCTTGGGGGAGGGGGGCCACACGGTGTGCGAGTCCTGCCACGCTTTGCCTGGCTAACCGCCCCAGCTAACCGGGTGAACTTTTTTTTTTGACCCGTGGAGATCCCCTTCAAATAAAATGCATAAAACGGATATTCACATTCATTTAATTGTCTAAGTTTAAAACAATCTGATTTGCCCCAGACACCCGCATAATTCAGAGCCATTTAAACGTTTAAAGTTAGTCGGTGTGATCGAGTTAGCCATCATGTCTGGATGGTGTGGTGGGAGTGAAGGGGAGGGACGTTTTATAACGCGAGTACAATACTAGCTACCTTACAACGGACAAAGGAGGGGGGAGAGAAACCGCCAGTTGGAAATAGTGGGGGACAAAGAAAAGAGTGGAATGAGAGACGAAGACGAGGAGCGCTGGGACGGATGTGTGGAAATGCATATCCATGTGAGGAGTGCAGAAGATCCGGGGCCGGACCCCAAAGCTCACTGCCGGCTGATTTCTTTGTCATTTGGGTATAGTGGCCCCTCCTCTCTGGCTCAGTCATTTTCCCCCCATCGAAGTATGCGAACAGCCTCGAAACTTGACTATGACTTTTTTTTTTTTTTTTTTTTTTTAAAAAAAAAAACGTTTTAAGTGATGTTCTGCGCGTCATGTTTCCTTTGTGACGTGCTTTGCCACCATTTTTGGTCGTTGGAGCCAAAGACCGATTGAAGATGCCAGAGTAAAGTTAGTCCCACAGTAATTTAGGAACGTGGCATTAACCCTAGTGTGTAGATGCTAGGCCTACCCCCACTTCATTTAATAGTATATGTTGAATAGCCATTAGTGTCTATAGCCAGCCTGTCCTTTCTTAACGTTCACAGCCTTTAGAAAACACTGCCTCCTACTGCCTGACCTACAGTATTACCAAGATCAGTTGGGATTTAGTGATGTAACCTGTGCCATCTGCAACTAGGCTGGGGTTTCCCAGTCACGATCCTACGGGATCTCTGTATGCTAGCTTTCATTCCAGCCAAGCCTTTATTTCGTCAGGCTTGAATTAGCCTTTTATGACATTTTCACAGCTGCTTAATATATTTCGACGTTTCTTTGTGTGGGAAGAGCCACAATAATGAATTTCTGTTTCAGGCCTGCCTGATTTGACCTTTGATGTCTTTATTTGTTGTCTTACCTGCCTTGGTATTTTTCTTTCCTGATTTATAGTGATTTTATGTTACATTCATTAGTGTTTTTGAATGTTCTCAAAATTGTTGCTGTGTTCATCTTTCTAAAGGTAGGACTGGGTGCTTTGGTGTGGTAAAACTCTGTTTTTTGTAATGTTAATTTAGCTGGTTCAATTTCCATGATGCTGCAGCAGTTTTAGGAGGTCTGTTGGGTTTAGAATTTGACTTAGTATGTAAAGAATTAGAAAATTAGAATTTTAAGATATGTCCACTCTCTGATTTCAGTCCATAGTGCCGGTAGACACATTCCAGTCATATAGATGAGCTGTGGTCTTTACATGTTGTTTGAAGAATGACTGAGCACCCAGTCACCCAGTCATTTGGTGGGGAGGATTTTTTTTACAGATTATAGATTTTGCTATTTTGGGATCTGGCTTCAAAAACTAGTCACTTGGCAAAGACTAGCAGCTGTCCATAACCTATGGCAAACAAGCAGTTTATTCGCCGAATGCTTTCTGATGCATATCATACGCAGGGAACAGATGGGGATTCTAGCTACTCTTAATTTTACTTACACAACATTTAGGTAGGCAGTTGACCTTGAATACTTATTGGTCCTGTAGTTTCTCCTTCAGTGCTGTCTGTCTAGAACATTACTTGCTCTTAAGGTTATAGTCCTGCTGCTTATGTTAATTGATTGTACTTGTAATGCAGCTGGTTGCCGCATTTGACAGTAATGGTTTACCATATTGGGAAGAGCACTACGGTTTTTATTTCAGTCTCTTGTCACATAGAAGGCCAGCTGGTCTCCAGTGATAATGTCATCTCCCTCTTTGCATATTCGCACAGGTGAGCGGCCCTTCCCTTGCACCTGGGCCGGCTGCGAGAAGAAGTTTGCACGCTCGGATGAGCTGGCGAGGCACAAGCGCACGCACACTGGGGAGAAGCGCTTCCCCTGCCCGCTTTGTGACAAGCGTTTCATGCGCAGCGACCACCTGGTCAAACATGCCCGCCGCCACCCCGACTTCCGCCCTTCCATGATTGGACGTAAGGGCGCAGCTACCCCTGGCACCGAGGGAGTGTAGACGACGTTCATCTCCCACTACTCCACCCAGCGCATTCAACATGGACCCCATAACACCGACCTTGCCTCTCCCCACTCTTCCCACTCTTAACCTCTGATACTGTGGGAGGAGACACTGTCAGAAGAGTACGGTCTTACTCAAATACACAACGGCTTCAACTCCAGCTCCGCCCACCGTGGCCCCAACACTTACGCAACACCTGGAAAGACCTTGATACATCCCTTGTTTTTGAGAACACCTTGTACTGCAGCTGCCTGTTCTCGTGCAGGCTTCTTTTTCGGTGGGTGGGGGCCTGGAGGGGGGGGGAGTTTCCACATCAAGCACAGAACCACCTACAGGTGCTGCACATTCCATGTTGATGGCTGTTTTGTGACCATAGATAGAATATTAGAGTATTAGTCACTTTGTTGTTGGCCCATTGTCACACTGCAAGGCTCGTCATTGCGCCGCCTGGTGGTCCGAGTCAGCAGCGCATTGACCCTGCCATGCAGTGAAACGTCTGCAGAGTACATGTAGCGCAGTGTCTCATCTTATCTGCAGCTTGAGAAGCTGAAAGCTCTTGCAGAAGAGATGATAATCATGAACACCATTTAGAACTAACATCCGGAATGAGTTACTGTTCTTGCGTTCAGGTGACGGGGAACCAGGGCAGCTATATCACTTGGATTTTCCACCGCATTTTGGTTGAAATCTAGAATTGCGTAACTGGAACATTAGAACTCTTTTAATATGACCAAAAATTCTTATTTCTTGGAGCAGAATGTTTTTTTCAGAAAATAACCTATAAAATTGTTTTACTTTAGATTTCAGTTGATTCAGTTTCGAATGACATGAATACTCGCAGTTCCAGATTTCCATGTCCAGATTTTACCGGAAACCCGGGGAAAATGCGAGCGTTGTAGTGCCCGGGGACTTTATGCTTGATTTAGACTAGAGAGCTGCTAGTGTGTGTGTGCGTATGTCTCTGCGCGTGTGGGTGAGTGCAAGATCTCTGTAAAACAATCTACTGTCTTGGCAGTCTGTCCAACCTCAGGATGGACACCTTTATCTCAGTGACTCCATCAGGAAACTCATAAAGCCTTAAGACATTTCACAGTTACTGCACCATAGTTTACTGTTGGACTTGTACAGGTATATATGCCAAATGGCACATTACAGACACAAAAAGAGAAATATATATGCAATATGGCACTTTTCCTACAAGTGATGTCTATCTCCCATTGGCTGCTAGAATGATAGCCTCCATTCCAGATACACCCTCATGCTTATTGATATTGTGTACTTGTACTGGACATATCGTATGGCAGTTTGTCCAAGTGCTTGAACAAGTGCGACAAAGGACAGAATAATAAAGTGAATCTACTGTCTCTGGCTTCAGGTATTTCTACAGTTATGTTGTACGTGCTTCATGTGTCCCAGGTGATGCGGTTCATATCATGCAAGTTATATGTATTCAGTCTCCTTGAGTAGCATGTTCCTACTGTTTACTATTTGTACCACTAGGTGGTGGTATTTTCCGCAAAATTTTCTGCTATTTGCTGTTTTTACCACTAGGTTGTGGTATTTCCCACGAATGCTTCTCTCTACAGTTTAGTTTTTTTGGATGCAGCCACTCTTGTGTTTGTGCTACACTTTCAATGCAATATTTTGCTAGGATTGGATTTTTTACTGTGGGCATTGTGCACGATATGACAGCATATTGGAAATGTTTCGTTTAAATTTCTTTTGGTTTAAATACATTTACAAATGCCTCTTTGCAGTCGTGGGAAAAATGAAGTATTGACTGATTTTTGAGTAACTGCTGGCAGTTATCTTCAACAATGTGTTGTTAGTACTTCATAAACAAAAAAATAGATATACTTGGACAAACTGATTTAATCATATTTTCACTCTCAAAAGGAATACATAATCATACCCAAAATTAATTTGACATTTGATTTGGAGATATCAAGATATAACATTTTGGGTGAGAAAGGAGATGTTTCCTCCTGCTAATTAAATGGGTTTTCAGTTCCTCCTCTGACTCCTCTAGGGCCAGACTGAATTTTTATCATGTGCTTCAACAGGGAAAAGAATTGGATCCCAGACCCTTAGTTTGGCTTAACTCAAGAAAGCCTCAATGAAATTGCACTGTTATGCTATACTATAAATATTAATATTTCAGTTATAATTTTATGCACAAGTATTTTTATTGATAAAACAATATTTAGTCTGACTAGTGCAATTGGGACTGTTAGTATATTTTTAAGTTTTTTTGGCTAGTAATAAGATGACTGTAGTAAATGTCAGTTTAAGATCATGGCAGTGGGCAGTTGGGGGTGACTGCTGTCGTCTGCCCTAGTTCCATGTTCAGGACTCATGATCTCAGCTTCTCATACCTCACCTCAGAGCAAGTGTTCAACCTCATTTCCAGTTTCATCACCATGCTCAAGGCGGTGGCCTGTTTGCCATTGTTATGCGATAGGACTCCAGATTGATTTTGTTGTGGCATCTTGTCTTAATGTTCAGATGGTCACAGGTGACCTCCGGTGATTGTTGCCAGTGGTTACTTTGGACCCTCATTTTTGTCTAGGTTTTGCTTTGGTTTTTTCTCTCTCATCTTCTGGGAAACGAGGGGTATCTGGTTCTGTTTTCAAACCTGAAAATTCCTCTGGATTTTTTCCCCTCTTGGATGTAGTAGAAAAAAAATGAATTTTCCATTTTTTTCCTGTGCAACATGTAAAAATAAGCATGTTTTTGTTCTTCTGATTAATTTATTACATGTTTGTGTGGTTTGAGTATCATTTTTATAGCTAATTTTTTTGTGGTATGGAACAATAATCGGTTTTCCTTTTTTGCTTAAAAGAATACTACCAGTGCTTTTTAAATCTGAAAATAAAAATGGTGAACAGTTTGTCTTGTGTGTGTGTTGTATTTGGAATCACTCTGTTGCCTGGGCAACACTCGCACTTCCGTCCTGTGGCTTGGGACTTATGATTATTATGCTAACTGAACCAGTGTAGCCTTCTCTCTCAGCATTAAGACATATGGGCTTAACAGGAACTGCTTGGTATTGGTTTAAGTAAGCCCCAATTGTTCATTATGACTTTGTTTAGTTGGAGAGGCTAAGTAGGCCAGATTGGCTACTGTCTGTTGTTGGTAGAGCCATTTCTCAGGTTGCGAGTCCGTCCTGAACCAACCTCTTCAGTCTTAATAGCGTTTGAAAAGAGCATTGCAGGTTCAGTAGGAAAAGGTGGGTAGTCTTTTCCATTGATAAGGTGTGGCCGTGTATTTCCTAGTCTGCTGTTTTACAATGAGCTTGGAATTCCTTTTCACCTTCAACCACTAATTAAAGACACAACCCACTCTCAGGTCGGTTCTTTCATATACCTTTTCCGAATTCTTTTTTTCTACCATCTTATTGTTGAAAAACGGTACATGCAAAAGGTACAGAAATGCACTGCAAGATCTGTTGCACTGTATTAATTGAAAACTCCATTCCTGGATTCATATCTGTGTCGGCCCAACTACTGATGAATAACACTCAGTAGAACAGGGCTGTGTTTTCGGTCAGTCAAGTTTTCACTTTGTTAGGTTGGTGAAGGAAAACCTACCAATCAGAACAGAGAGAGCATACGGTCAGGGCCAATCAGAACCGAAACATGCAAGGTTCATCACACGCCTCACAACGATGGGTGCTGTCTTCTCTGTCTTCAGTGACAGTTTGATGACACCGTGAGGGTTATCCTCACTGTCTCCATATACTGGCCGTCAGCAGGAATGAAAATACTGAGAGTGAAGTAACTTTCCTGTTTTGTTTCCCTGAAAAAAAAAAACCCCTCTAGCTGTACCACCCTGCAAAACCAGGCAGTCAGGCCCATTGCTGGCACACGTCTGCGCAGACAGTCCCCGGGCATCTCTGCCTACTTCAGCCTTGAGTGCGCCGCCACCTGGGCCCCTTCCTGACTCTCGAGGTCAGAGGTCACAACGAGACCTTGCTCTGCCTCTGCGGAAGGCTGCTGGGCAGTTCCGCCTGTGCCAAGGCAGCGCCGCAGCGTCTGTGCGGACGGGCCGGCTTGCAGGCAGCTCCGCGCAGGCGGAGCAGGAAGTCGAAATTGGCGGAGGTGTTCATGGCGTAGAAGACGTTGCCGTTGTCCGGTATCACCAGCTCTGAAGACAAGGCCGAGGGAGAATGTGGAATAGCGTGTGCATTTAAAAAACAGGGCCACAGGAACTCAGACCTAACAGAGCTCCACATCACGTCCTCAGAAGCAGTAGTACTGATGGGGACCAGCACATACACACCTTTTTCCTCAGAGATGACTTGCACCAACTCATAGCTTTCAGGTGCTGCCCCCTCCAGGTGGTGCTTGGTCATGGCTCGGCAGATGACAGCAGGCGTCTTGTCCTGACTAGTCAACTGTGGGGAGGAAGTGGAACTTGATCATTTTTTTCCCCCCACTGTTTCCATGGTGACATAGTGACACCATGCAAAACCACCTGACTGGTTAAAAAAATTAAATGTATGCCTTGGCAGGATGTTGGTCACTACTTGGTTTAACCCAATGAAAGCCAGTAATGTAACCAATGGGATGAATCCTCTCAGTCACCATTTTGTTGAAAACAATACTTATGCTAATAAATACTAGGGGTGTAACAATTCATCAATTCTAATCGATATATCAATTTTTAAAACCATAATACGATTTAATCGACTCGGTTAACAAATATTGATTCATATCATTAAACCATGACGATATGCCAAAACACTGATGAAAAATATATATCTGTGAAAAAATCTCTCACACAAGGCAATCTAGAGCAGCGCTATTCAAATCACGGCCCTGAAGGGCCAAGCACTGCTGATCGTACAGCCTGCCTTTACCTGTGAGCTGAGTGTGAAGCCTCTGGCCAATCAGAATCAGTAATTATTAAACTGACTACCTGGGAGAACTGAAAACACGGCCTGGATTTGGAATCGAGTGCCAGATTTCAAGAGCCCTGATGTAGAGACTCACCTTAGTAAAGAGTAGAGATCAATACATTACAGTACATTTTATGTAGTTCAGTACAACTATGTTCCTGCATTTTAGAGAGTAAGCTTTTCATATCCAGAAATAGTTTTTTGGTGTTAAAGTACAAATACATTTTTTTGTTTTTGAGTGTTTTTCAACATATTCTGTTGAGAAAAATGAAAAACTCAAATAAACTCCACTAAAATCACCTTATGTTTCACTGAACTTGAATTAGAATCGTACCATATCACTGTAACTTTTCATGTATCTCTATCTAATCGCAATCGAATCGCATGGTGGCAAGGCTGACGATTTGCACCCCGAGTAAGATACACCTGAACTGTCTGGACCAGGCGAACCCATAACCTTGGTATCTCCTGAAACTGCTGTCATGCTCAAGCTCACAGCAATCGTGACACAGCATCGCTATGCATGGTGCACTTATTAAGTTGGTCAAAGCACACAGACAGTAAGACACACACTGAACGTCGCAAATAAATTGAGAGCTACACAAACACACAGTCGCCGTGCCCTGACCAGGATACTCTTGTAGAGGTTTCCATTGCTGTGTTCCACGCTGACCCGGATGATACAGGCATCCTGAGCTTGTGTGTTGTACAGGGGGGGCAAGTTTGCCATGCTGGTGAAGGTGCAGTGACAGGTCAGTGAGGAAGAGCAAGGTGTGCTGGGAACAGTGGCTGCTGATGAAGACTGCTCCACCCAGTGGAGAGAAGAACAGGAAGAAGACTGGAAAACAGGAGGTATCAAGACAGAGTGATTGTAACTTCATGATTCTGGAAGAATATTAGTGTCTGTGTGTATGTGAGGGAAATGTAATGTAGGGTGTGTGCAGATGTGAGCGTACCGTCTCATAAGCCAGGCTGGAAGTGTGAGTCACCGATACCCCGTCGCTGTCAGACGGGCTGGAGTCGCTGGACGACATGCTGACAGAGTCCATGCTCTCCCCGGAGCTACCAGCAGGAGTGACACGAGGGCAGTCTCTCCCCAGGGAGGTCACACCCATGGCCTCCGGGCCCAGGAATAGTCTGCACAAACAGCCGGTGGTGTGTTTAGGGTGACCACCTAATTCATGTTGGGGGGGGGGGGTCACTTTGAGCTACTTCAGGTTTTAAAGACCGAAAAGCTGTGACGCTTGGCAAAATTACTCAGTTCATCTTGTACTTTTACTGGTTTGTTTCCTTGATTGAAAGACTCATTCAGCTGTTTCATATTAACATTAGTAAATATTAGCATGATTATAGGAGACTTTTAGGAGATTATAAGAGAGCTTTGGGTGAAGTGGTGGCTCTGAGGCTAGGGATCTGTGTCAGTAGGTTGCCGGTTCAAATCCCATGAATGCCAGCAGTGATCCTACTCTGTTGGGCCCTTGGCCAAGGCCCTTAACCTGCAACTGCTTTGTCCTGGGTATGATGTTAATCTATATCCAGCCCTGTAAGGAGGTCCTCCCACTTACAAGGAAATTTGAGTGTTGGTGGCAGTATTGGCACTGCAGCTACTGGAGAAAACTCACTGCTGAGGTATCACCCACTGCACGGCTGCACTCTGGCTCTCATCCCTAAGGTGGGTCGTTGTGTGGTGGGTGTGGCACCGTGCTGTAATCAGCACATGCCCCTTACCTACTTTCTATAGGAGACCACAGCATATACCATAACCAATCACAGCATAGCAAGAACTCAAGGCTAAAGTGAAATTGGGGTCTGGAAAGACATAGGGGTGCGCGGGTGATTTTGAGTCACTCACAGACTTAGCCTCTTCGCCATGCTCTGTCGGGGTTTGGGTGATGTCGGACTGCTGTCCCCGAGTCCCTCGATCTCACAGGACAGTGTGTAGCTGGTGAGAGACCAGAGCCCAAAATGCAGGTCAAAACAGGAAGTGATGCATGGAGGAAGGAAGGAAGTGTGGCCAAGGGAGCTACCAGCCATTCTGGTGATAAAACAGCAAGCCTGTGTATAAATAGCCCATTAGCATCACTTTTGGTTCTGTGGCTGATTATGAGTCATTGTCATCCATTCAGTTATCTTCCAACGGCTTTTCCTGATCAGGGTCACATGGTGGGGGGGGGTCTTGGAGCTAATCCCAGGCAGCACAAGGCTGGGATGGGATGCCCCTCTATCGGCGGGTTCATACGCTGACTCGCATCATCATGTGCTATGGGCAATGTAGAGATACAAATTAGTCTACCTGCAGGTCTTTGGTCTGTAGGAGGAAACCAGGGTGCCCGGAAGAAACCTGTACCACATGGGAAGAAGATGCAAACGCCATACACACAGGACAGAGGTGGATAGTTCCGGTCCAGAAAGTGAAAATCCAGACCAAGATTTCGTTTCAACCAACCAGTTGAGTACTCTGTGACTGTGACTGTTTATACTCAGCTCTTTGTTTGAAACAAAATCTTGGTCTGGATTTTTATTGTGCACACATCAACTATCCAATTAAAATCCCAACCCTGGAGGTGTGAATTGACAGTGTTGGGTGCTGCATGGCTGCATGGTCACTCAGTGGGTGTCACTGTAGCTTCACACTCCCAGGGTTGGGAGTTTGATTCCTGCCCCAGGCTGTATGTGTGTGGAGTTTGCATGTTCTCTCAGTGTTTTTGTGTGATCTTCCTCACATAGTCAAAAACCATCAGTGGTGGATAGTTCAGGTCCAGAAAGTAAAAATCCAGGCCACCTCTGGTTTTGGTGAATTGACATCTCTGAAGTGGCCTATTATGAGTGTGTGCTCAGCGATGGACTGGCATCCTCTCCAGCGTGTCCCCTAGCCCCGTGCCCTGTGGTGGACTGGCATCCTCTCCAGCGTGCCCCCTAGCCCCGTGCCCTGTGGTGGACTGGCATCCTCTCCACGGTGCCCCCCACCTTGTGCCATGTGTTTCCTACTATCGGCTCACCCTGGCTCATCCTGACCCTGCACTAGATAAGCCCTGAGAAGCTGGACAGCTTGGTTGATGTGTGCATTCCCAGATACTGTTCCAGCTGTAGTACCTCTCCTCCTCCGTGTACCGGGGCTGATTACGGAACCAGCGCAAGAAGCCGTAGTCTGGGGTCAGGCAGTAGGTGTTGCAGGATGACTGGAGCAGCTTGATCTGTGCAATGACTTCGAACTCCTGCAGGTGGACCGGAGAGGGCATTGGTCGCCTGGGGTCTGGCCTTCTGTACCCCTCAAGTCACAACAAACCCCCACCCCTACAAACCCCCACCACCCAAAAATTCCCAGCGAAAAACAGCTGAGACAGTTATGTTGCTGATTACAGGATTACGTTTTAAATGGACTCATTCACGTAACAGATTTCTTTACCACTGGGATGTATGGGGGGATTGTTGTGTTACAGGTTAGGATTCTACCCATGATCAGAAGGTCACCTGTTCAAATCCCAGGGATGCCAGAGTGATGCCACCATTGGGCCCGTGAGCAAGGCTCTTAACCCTGATATCTCCAGGGGGTTATACAGATGTACTGTATACTTGCCTTTCAGTATATATGAATTATGTGTTGTTACGTCACACCTACAGTCATACAGTAACAGCTTTTCCTGATATTCAAAATGCTGATCAGTTGAATGGTGACTGTGTGTGCGCGTGTGTGTGTGTGTGTGTGCGTGTATGCGTACATGTGTGCACGTGTGTGTGCCTGCACATCTATGATGTATTGCGCTTTACATGCTATGTTTCCCTGGAACACGGATTCCATGAACCGCTATTAAAAATGTATCTATGTCTGGATTTATATTTTATGTGACCAGTGATCAAGTTGTAAATGTATTTCAAGGGGGATGGTGAGGGTGTGAGGGATAAAATTTGCTGGG